ACGATCCAATAATACTGTTCAGAACACTGGCCCATTGCGGTCACTTCTCGGTACCACTGTTAAAGCTGTAATGGCGACGAAATAATTCGAAAATGCATGGTAAACACAGAATACAATGACGATCGAAACTCAGTCGGTCTGTAAAGACAAAAGTCGAGAATGAAAAAATGACTGGACAAGTCGACAGTGACCGATTGTCGGACAACGGATGCGTGCAAGACCGGAAACAGGGCTGAGACGGTGAATTTCAAGGCGACGCTGCCTGTTTCAGGGTGAGGATCGCATGCACGCAACCCACCGCGCGTACAGTTCGAGACACTCCTGTGACAAAGGGAAGCTCTCGCGATACTAGGTATTTATTGAAACGCGACGGTATGTAGATTCCCTGTGGAAATCAGCCTCGACAAGCTGGCCGTGAGTGTCTTGAGGTTTGTATTACCGGAGAATCGTGTGCGAAGACCATGCGTTGTTTGGCCAGTTTAATGGTTCATGCTTGGCATATTTCTCACCTGTGCTATCGAGAACACCTTGATCAGGAAATATCTGCGATTTACAGCCTCGAGTAATGAATGTATTATGTCGAAACGGGTCAGACGTTGAAAAAGAATTATAACTGTGGGACTCGTTGGGTTAGTTTCGTGTGTTTCCTGGACAGGAGACTCGTAACTGGGAGATTTCTAATATTTCAATTACAAGTTCCGCCGAAATTACAGGAACAACAACGATGACGATTGGTTGCGGCGAAACAGAATCGTGCCAGTTTCCTATCGAGCCGTGTACAGTTGTTTCGCGGAGGCCTTCGCGTGCGAACACGCACTCGCCGATCCGCAGTAGCCGAGTGTTTCGTTTGCTCGGTAATTAACAAGAAATTGCGACAGGAAATTTATCGGGTCAAAGTAGTTCCATCGATCTATTAAAAAGAAGAAAAAGCGTATCTATTAAAAAAGAAAGAAATCATGAAATTTCGATACAGGATCCAACCATTTTTCCGCGAATTGGCATGTGACGGGCCCGCGAAAAATTCCGCGAAATTACCGAAACTTGCCAAAAAAGATGAACACGTGCCTGTGGCACGCGATAATGAATCATATTAAACCAGGCGACCATGCAAATGCACGACAGCAATTTACCACTTTTTAGACATGTAAATTCCTTGAACCCACCCAACAATAGCGTGCAACGCCGCAAGGTAAAGTTACCACCCCTTCTTGGGGGGGTGACAGGAGAGCGGGAAACGGTGACGGAGGAGAGGGAGGGGTGACGAAGAAAAAAGCGCCAGTCCATTATGTGGATCTATTTGTATTACGAAATCATTCTGTCAACACACCGGCCGAGGAATCGATGTCAGGGCTGTCTGTCCGCGGTAAACGTCGATAAATTCACCGCGTTTCGCGGAGCGATCGCGATCTCGACCGGCCTGGACACTTCACCACCTCGCGGGTATATGTCGCATTAGAAATCACCGAATAGAATATAAATTGCCAGCTCATCGTTCGATCTATTAACCCTAGCGTTGTATAGGGTGATGCAAAAAAAGGCTTCATAACTGCTAGGGTAGATAGAAGTCGAAAAATTAATATTTTCAAAGTTATAAATCATTTTTGTAGTATGGAAACAATGAAGTAAATTGTAAAAAAGGAAATAATAAAAATTGTCGAGAACCTTCTGTAACCAGAAAAATAAGAAATAAGATAATCGATTGCGTGCATACGTAGGATCACTCCCAAAGCGAGAAAGTCAGTCGGTTTAACCGAAACAAAAAATTTCTAACTCTAGAAATATTAATTTTGCAACCTATGTTTATGATAACTTTTTTTCATCATTTGACGAATGCTACTTACTCTAGAAGGTATGACACCTTTTTTGTGTCATTTTGTATACTTTCTAAAATTATTATTGCATTACAATAAATCATCGATGAATGTTCGAAGGCTTCTCTACACTAAGTATTCAGACGTCATCCGTACCACTGGGGTATGGGATGGCGCCTCAACTCTCAGTGCGGAGGAACCTTCGAACACTCATCGATAATTTACTGTAAACATCGTACACAATCACAGAAGACAGTTCCACCAAAGAATACTAATTCAGGGGATCAAGAATAGGAAACATTAAGAGGCCTCCTATTAATCTATGGACTTTTTCCTCTATCCCCCCAGTTCGTAGACGGAATCGTCGCGCTACTATGTAGCTACTCGATCCAACGGAATTACGAACATTTCGCGTTCGCAGGCCCTCCGACGCATACAAATGGTCGTTCGGAGACAGACCGTCGCGCGACTGTGAGTGTAGCTAGAGCTAGTCGAATAGGGGAGAGGGTTGATTTGTTTCTTCCTTGATATATGCGCGTCGATGGACGTCGTACCGTTCACAAGAGTCCCGAGGCTCGAGGGAAATTCTCATTATGCTGTCCGAAATGGTTGGAAACGTTCCAACCGAAACTACCCGTGAACTTGTCCGCGCCCTAACATCCCCCGATACAAGTTCTACCCCGTGTCCCTTAGAATGAGGGGGTTAGAGGCGGCCCCGACGATATGAAATTTGTGCAAACTGGCGCGAGAACCGGTATTTTCCGCGAAATTAACCATCCCCTTTTCGCACGATTTCCGAACGGTAACGTGGCCGCAACTTTTCCATGGCGTTAGGGGTAGTTTTTATGTCCAGTTACCGTAGACGCTTCGACTTAGCTTAATGCAACTCAGCGAACATTGTGGCTTCATTCTCGTGAAAAGTTACCCATCACTTCTTTATGATATACAGGGTTAGTTACTTAACTGTACTACCTACTTTTATTCATAAATTACTTGGTGTATAAAAAAATGTTCCAAACGAAAGTAGTTTAATATAATAACAGGGTGTATTTAATATTCTTTCGAAGCGCAAAGTCAAATATTACGCAGTATGATACAAAAACTCAAGGTTACCTTCATATCTCGATAAAAAGAGCGAAACGTAAAAAAACTAGTTTGTTCGTTCTGCCCGATAGCAAACAACTTTCGGTTGAAACATTTTTTCATACGACAAGTTGTTTACGAGTAAATTTTGGCGGTACAGTTAAGTGACTCACCCTTTATACATTTCTCCTCCGACCGCGTTTCCACATAACCGAGGGTCGTGAGTTCCAGCACGTCATCCAGGAAATATCGACGATATATCCGGAAATTGTACCGGTGATCCGTGGATATTTACGAGAGAGAAAAGCCCAGTGGAATCGCCGTCAGAAGTTCATAAGGGTATTGAAATCTCCGAGAAAGGGGCGGTTAGACAGATGGAACACACCGTCCCCTTTCGGACTTCCCCTCTCTCCCAATTGATGAAAAACAAGAAGTTCGTGAATTCCGGGATAAACAAGCATATCTTCACGGCCTCCCCCCCCGGAAATATCCAGTTTCGTAAACTTCTCGCAGTAGCTCATCCATAAAGTCGGGGGACTTGGTCGTTGATGCTCGCTCGAAGGCTGGACAAAGGAGGGTGGGGTTTTCGAAGGGTGCACGGAGTGTGCACCCGGTTCGAGGTTAACAAAACAAAGTCCAAGCCCCCGTTTACATTTAAGATACACATACACACACACACACGCACACACGCACAGGGGTCGAACCTGTGTTTCTCTGTATGTATCGCCTTCGCGGCCCGTCGTCAGCTTCTGGTATCGATTGGCAAGTCTGACCTAACACTGACACACTTCACTCGACAAGTCTGACCTCTGTTCCGTAGATATCGACCATTCGCCGTGTAATCTTTGGGATTTCCACGTGTCATGGCGGAACAACACTTATATCCGGCCAGTTTTTTGGGATTACGCCACGGTTTCCGTACTGGTCAGGACCTTCGATTATCCGACCGACACGGTTCTTTTCATCGACGTCTGGACGCGTTTACCCCCGTTTATGGAAACGGTGGCGTCGCCTTGTCGAGCGTGTTCGTTACGGTCCAGTGTTAGTGAATAAAGCATCCCAGGGACCCAGGGAAACGATCAAAGTGGGATTTCGAGAACGGTAGGCGACAAATTTGGTTGAATGTTTCATGCCAGCGGGTATCGATATACCGATCCCCTTTTTCCTGAGGAAAAATCGAACAACGGGGGGAAGAGCATACGTGCGAAGAATATATGTATGTTGGGCGATATTGATCACCCTTATGGATGCAAGGGATTGCAGGCTTTGGAGTGCGCGTAGACTACATTTTCTCTCTTCTTCCTCCGTCGTGGACATTGAATTTCGAGAAGCTCGCGTGAAGAATGTATCGCGATACACTGTCACTATTGCTGGTAATTTATCGAACAGGTGGATAACGTTCTTGGACATAAAATGACAAATGCTATCGAGATTTGAAAAATTGGGAGCAGAAAAGAAAGAATTAATCCCTGCAGGACCGTAGCCGCGTTTAGGTGGTTTCAATTGACTGCCAGATTTCCTTTATCCCGTGTCAACACGTACGGTCCCGGTACGGTTAGTATCATTTATTTTTTCATATCTGTGAGTATAGAATTGGATATATTATTCTTCTGGTCTTGTATAGATGGTATGACACAAATTTTCATACGGTTTTAAAAGCTTCTCGACATAGTAAGACATTATTGTCCTTTGTCCCTTTTATTTGCTGGAATTCAAGTGTTGAGCATTTTTTTGCAATAAGAACTTATAAAACTCAAACTTCTTTCAAATAATTTACGCAAAGCCAAGCTCACTTGTATCGACTAGGTGTTAATTTTTCTGATTTTCGACTACATTCTGTTGTTTTAAAATCAATTTTTGTAAAACAATTCGGTCCTTAAAGGATTATAGAAACACCATTGTTAAAATTAAAAAGTGCTAACTGTTATTTTTCTGAATTGAAAATGGATTTTTCTGGACAAAAGTATATTTTTAGATAGATTCATCCAGAAATGTTGCTTCCAGTGTATCGTATAGACCGATTCCGATATATCGTTTATTCTTACCGGTCGATCCGCCACGGACGTCTACTCCCGTCTAATGGAAGCGACTTTCTATATTTTCCAGCCCACTAACATGTGGTTCACCCACAATGATGGAATCTTGGGGTCCTGGAAGGACTGGCACACCCCCGCCTGCTCTTCCGCCCCCGCCAGCTGGGAGCAACAATGGTGCAACGTCTGCAGCAACCGCAAACGTTGCACAGCCCAGCACCGCCGCGCCGATTGCCAGTCCCGAGGGGGTGAGCGACGTAAGTAAAAAAAAAAAAAAAGAATTCTGTACCCGACGATCCAGAAACCAAGAAAAGACATTAAATCGTCCGATTCGAGACCCTTTTATTTATAATACCGTCAATCGTATTTCACAATGATGCTTTCGTCGCGCATTGTTAACCTGTAGAGGACGGGGAGAGGAATCGTTTATTTTTCATAGTATAACACTATGACGAATATATATAAGTTCTAACTCTAACAGAAGTTCATTTCGGCAATTAAAGATCGCACAGAGATCTTTCTGGTGATCGTGGGTTAAATTACCACCCCCGAGCGGCTATTCCGTCCATCCGTTTCAATTATACTAGCAACCTCGATAATCGAACGTAATGGATGTTAGCCGTGGCATCGAGCCCAGTTAATAGAATCACCGGAACATATCTGAAATTGTCCATTTTCACCCTATCCTTCAACTCCTAGAGTCATCCGAATGGTGTCTACGGAAATTCGAAAAATACTTGTATTTTATAGTTACTAAAAAAATGGGTAATTCATTTCCACTCTATCTTTCACACTATAAAGTAATCCACACGGCGTCGTATTTCCTATTGCTTTTCTGTTACCATTTTCTAGTCACTGAAAGAAAACAGGGTGAGATTATAGATTCATAAAATACGACAAGAAATACTGGTTCTCAGTACACGTCGAAGCATAATCAACCATCATCTGTCTCGAAGCTCGAAATCCCATGCACACACAGGCATCCAAGCGAACAATATCCAGCTCCCATCGACAAGCCTTAGCCTTAAACCATGCCCTCAACCCCGAAAGCCCGACCCCGTCCCTCTCGCAACCCCACGGTAAATTCAGCCTGATCGCGTGCACACTCGCTTCAAAACACGTCCGGTATCGATCGGTGTGGTTGTCGTATGGGAGTGTACGCGATGCTAACGATATTCCCAGCCGGCTGTCACGTGAAACGGAAGTCCGAGTCAAGGGTAGCCTGACGGTGTGTGTGCGTTTGTGTGTGTGTGTGTGTTGTCGCTACATGGGGCGGGTGGGTCGTGTGTCGTTTTCATCGGTTGCAGGTCTCCCAAAAATCCGGGATCTGGGACGGTGGGAATTTCTCGTCCGGTGGAGGCGCGGAGGGACCGTCCAGAAGCGTGTCGCACGCTGCGAGCCTGGACGCGATCTCGAGGAGAGCGGTGAAACCGGAAGCGGCGAGGACGCCGTGTCGCAGCCTCACCTGCAGCGTATGTAAGTAGCCACCCGAGCTCTCTGAATGGGCCTTGGTTGCTCGTTTCCACCTACCTCACTGTTCTGTTTTTTTTTTTTCGTGTTTCTCGGTATATACAATATTGTATTTCGTGGATTGCCTCTTTGACGTGTATCAGCTCGAGCTTTTTTATCTGTGGAACGGTGACTTTCCGTTTCTTTTTTCTCTTGATGGACGACCTTTTACGTGTACGTACATAGGTGTTGCATTTTGCTACGTGTCGCTGTTTCGTCTTTTTTTTATTCTTTTTGTTCTGGAACGTTTGTAGGTCCGATCGTCGCCGATCCCTCGAGTACCGAAAATCTCGATCGGTGAAAACGCGCGCACAGATTCCGCAGGAACGCGTCGAATGTGAATGTGTGTACACGCGTGTCCCCGATGTGTAACATTGCGAATCGACGACGCCGGAGGCTAATGCTGCCGCATGCGATATTTCGTGTGGCGAATGTTGACAGATAGTGACCGCACGTGTCTCCCCGCGAGCTAGCTAGCGGGTAGAAGCTTTCGTGTGACGGAGTTATCGATGATGAATGGTTTTTGCTCGAAACCGGTTTTGATACCTGATGATCGATAATTTGTGATACAGACGCTACGCCGGTGTTTCGTGCGGTTTTCAATCGTAAGATATCCAGGGAAGACCAATGCACCACATAGAGTGTCATAAAAAATATTGAAAACGTTATGTTCTTATTAAATAAAATAAATGAAGTGACAGTATCGGGGACACTGGCAGTAATTGCAACATTTACCCTATACACCGTGTAATTGTATCGCATCAAGTGAATACTGACGATCATAATCAGACTGCTATACGCATATATGTATATTCATGGTGTCACATTGAAAGCTTCCACCCATAACTCTCGAATATCTTGTGCACCGATACATCCAATCCGACCTATTTGTATAATACTATTCGATTGCCCGTCCAACCGATGAATTATTCAAACGGAAAAAAATAAACATTGATGCTCGGAAACCGGGGCGAAGAAACACCGTCGCCTCTCCCTATCTGTCAACGGGGGTTGAAATGCTCGAAAAATCGAAGTAGCCGCGCTAGCGAGTCGCGTCTCGTCGAAGTGGCGCGAGCTGGCGCCAGTTTACCGAGAACCAAACCCCAGCAAACTACCCCCTCGTCTCGAGTTCTCAACGGAATACATAGTGAATAGAGACGCGACACACGTTTGTGTCCGTCCCTGTCGATCATCCCCAATTTCTAGACATAGACCCCTACGTGCGTGCTCGATATTCCTGCGTAAAAAAAATCAGGCCTTAACCCCCAGCTCCGTACCCCGTGTGGGGTACGACAAATGAAAAACCAAAAATCAAACAATAGCAAAACGTATTTTAGTAGCGGGTCGAGGGAGCGAACACGTCACCCTCGAGCGACGGCCAGCGACAGTCGATAATCTCACCGAAGGTAAAACAGGATGGAGCGGCCGCAGCCTGCCTCCCCCGTTCTGGTTTCTCTTTTAACCGACCGAGCGCCGGCGAGTTTGCACCCCTTTTACACACAACTTACCAAGCGCTTGCGGCTTACATTTTTTTGGTCATGAGCTTACCAGAGATAACGTACTGTTGTCCGATTGAGCTTACATAGGCCTGTTTTCATTTTTTTTTCATATATATATATACATATATATTACCTTTACCCACCTATATTATATGTACGACTCTTGTATTTGTTTACATTATCCACTGTCTCTCTCTCTGTCTCTGTCTTTCAATCATCTGTGAGACCAACGAACGCGCCACTTTTGTCCCTCTTACTCTTTCTCCGTCTTTTCTCAGCCCCGTTTGTCTCTGGATTTATTTGTTTATTTCTATCCGTCTGGTAACTTTTGTGCCGTAATGTTTACACGACGAGCACCGTAGCATCGTTTCGGTCAGCCATTTTGTACTCTTTGTATCATGTCCCCGGAACTGTAGTTTACACATCCACCCCCTCCCCTGGCTGGAGGAAGCTTTTTAGTTTGTAAATTTACTCTGTTTCACAGTGACTCGTGGCTCCACGGAAACGTATAAGTCTTTTTCGTTTTTGAGCGTCTGTACGTACAGGGTGACTCGTGTCGTTGGGCCGAGACACGTTGAAACTAGAAATGGTCAAATTCATTATCTAGATAAAAAGCTTCGTCTAACGAGTAAGAGATAAAAAATGTATTTTGCCACTTTTTAATCGATTAAACGTGGAAAGTGCATCTTTTCTAGTAAAAGAATATTTTTTTCTGAATGAGTAGACACTTGGCAAACAATTATTTAATCTCATTAATTGTTTAACCCTTTATACCCGAGAGGCGACTCGCTATCGCCATATTAAATTGTAGCGACTCGAATGAATTGAAAACTCAAATATTGAATTTTTTATAATCTAATAGAATACGATTTCTCTGGTTATACACATATGAACTGAAAATATAACTCTGGTTCAAGAGTCTTGGGAATCTCCTACCGTGTGTGACACAAGTCCTCCTCCCCTCTACTTATGAGTACGCAGGGCTGACCGAGGCACAGTGTGCGTTAGTTTACGCTTTTTTCACGACGAGGGCAAAACTGGCTGACCTTTTACACACACATGGCTTCTCCTACTCTTTCTGCGGTCACAGACTCGCGATCCACGGGGGCGATCCCTGAAATCCATGGAATCGGCCCTAGGACGACAGATTTCGACAGTGTATACACGACAACATCATTGTACAAATCATTATCAGTACACCGACTCCCATTATGCTCCCTGTCTCTCTTTATATATACATATATACATACATACAGATATAAATTTTATAAATAATACTACTCTCCAGTGTAGCAGTTACTGCATTGTTATCTTGGGCGAATAATTACACGGTCTTTGAGAAATATTTAAACGATCTTTCTTTCACAGGTATGCAGCTTCTAGTGCGAATTTGACTAACTTGTTAATGAACACACTACTTTTAACGCTTCTAGATCGGAGATATAGGCTCGGTTCGTTTCTGTTTTTGTTTCTGTACATCCTCACCGCGTCCGTAGGCTCTCCGTTTACCACCACACTCTTTGTTTTTCTAGTTGTACACACTGTTGTCGAGTAACGAGCCTTCTTCTTTTGGAACCGTTAGTCGTTTCTGTACATGAATTTTCTTTTTTTCTTTTGTACCAAATAGACTTTGTCACAAATGTAATTTTGTCATTTAGACTAGTTACGTGTGTGGTTCGTAATTGGTGTGTGTTCACTGTGAACCATTTCTGTCGAAGACGATTCTTTGATCCTGCGATTTTGATTTATCTTTTTGTGTTCCATACGTAGGAGCCTCGATCGATTTTTGTTCTCGTTTTTTGCGCCTCGAGCTCGATTTTTTTCGACAATCAGAGAGAGAGAGAGAGAGAACGTTCGTAAAATCGCACCTTGAACTTTGCCAAATTAATCGCGGCGAACATATTGCGTTTTAGTACGCCAGGTCTGTTTTTTGATCACGTTACTCAGCCATTTTCTTTGGGAGACTACTACACACGTTGGATAGATTTTGTTCATAATCGAGCCTGTATTTCACACGTAATAGTTCTTGTAATAATAATAACAATAATAATAATAATAATAGTAATCGACGAACGTCGTTGCCTCGGCGACGTGGGAAATACACACGGAATATTTGACGCGGTGATTTGTGTTTCTAGCGACTAAACATTCGAAAATCTTTCCGGGCGTCGCGTCCGAAAGCGATCTGCAAAAATGGCGGACGTCCAAGGACCGGAAGTCGCCGTCGCTCAGCCAGATGGGGCCGGATTCCATCAAACACAAAGTAAGTTCACGATCCATTCAAAATGTAAATCTAACATAAAACATAAGAATATAATTTTGTCAAATGTAAGTCTTGATCTGACTTTCCTTGTTTCTTTTTGTTTTTTGGTTCCAGTTCTCCTTGCAGGACAACGGATCGGCAAAATACTTCCAGGGAGCCATGCACGCGTCAAACATGGGAGAAAAAGTCGCTCAGGTAAGCCCACGTTTCGTCCAGAAAATCTAAGAGCTTTGGTTTTCACCGCGGTGTGTTGCCAGCTGCGCGTGAACCAGTATGGGAGTATCGGGCTTATAGAGAACTCGCGAATTTCTATGCAAATCGGGGAGCTTGCCTTGCAATACATGTTCTCGCCTTGGAGGACGAAACTGGATACTTTCGCAAGGAGACTTAAACTTCTAATAGAGGGTTGTCGCTAAAGTTGTTCTCTGATTGGTCTTAGGAGTTCGGGGAATTTTACCGCTCTTTCGTTGACGGTTCTTATAAAATGGAATCTGACCTTGTGCATACATAGTTTAGACCAACTTAGAGGAGGGATTCAAATGTTCCCCCCATCTGAACTTTATCAATTTCGATTACTCCGTGCTCGGGGAAAATGTGTTCAACTTTTAATAGAGTAGAGAACTAGCCAGGGAAAAGCTAGAACGAGTCTCGATAACATCATCTTCGATGGTAATATTGAATGTCTATCGGGCACGTTATGTTTGCCTATAGATTATCCTGGCAAACATAAATGCTTTGCAGGATGTTTAAATATTCTGTTTGTGAATTATTCAGTGTCCGTGACTCGGAAAAGTGCAGCTTGTCTGCAATACATTGTCCTATTCCACTGCCGTCGCGTTTGATTGACGTATACAATATGTATTCCCCGGGCGGTCACACGGTTGTCTGACATACGCCATCTTATTCTACTGAATGCAGGGAACACGTGCTATCTTTTCATCTCACTGAATCAGCTTACCTCTGCGTCCTCTCCCAGGAGAAAATTCTATTTATTTATTTATTAACGGGATAAGTTGGTACCCTTTAGTACAAACTTATCATAAAAGAAAATAAACGATACGGTAATATTAATACTTGACAATGCGAGGAAACGAATTGTTTAATACTGGTTGAGAGTGATTGAATATTTTGACAGAGTTGCAAAAATCTGAGAATAGTCTTTCTGGTCTGCCTCGAATCGCACCATTCTACTCATTTTATAAAATATCCTCTTGAATCTGGTAGGGATTTTCCGGAAGAAAGCAAACCTTTTATTTGTAAAAAAAGGACTTACTTTTCGATAGATACATTCTTTAAGCTGTGTAATACTTTTGATGTTTACCATGGTTATTCTACTGACTTTACGGAAAACCTGCTGAGACATTATCGACTGAACCGACTATCGTACACACAGAAGTCAAGGGTTCTATCGTCTTTCAAGGAAAACCGTATGCATATTTCCATGTAGGTCATTCGACACGTCCGACATATTTCCTGTTATTTCTATGAAACTTAGAACAACGTGGGTCATCTGCGATATTTCGTCATTAAACTTATACATTCTACTAAATTGTAAGTCATTCATCATTAAGCGAAATATTTCCTGTGAGCAGGAAGTTGGTCATTTTTAAAGAGAAACACGCCTGGACTCATTTATCTCGAACTTATAACATCTTTTTTCTATCACAGCTACTTTGTATCGAGTTACAACGCCTCGTTAACACCTTCACGATAGAATTATGATGCTTATCGTGGCACCCATTGGTAACACGGCCCTGGGAGGGCGCCAATCGGTCTGCGCCGCAGTTTTGTGGGCGGGAATCACCCGCAGCGTAAGGTATTTCTGCAACTTGACAGCTGTTTTACGTCGCTGTAACACGTGCGTGTGCTCTCTTTCCTTCTGTAACTTTGTTTACGAGATTCGTGGAAACGATTTCTCAATGACTCAATGGCGTCCGCTATTTCTTCATCGCCAGAACACCTAGAAACGAGGAAAACGATTGCTGGAGATGTATTTCTGGAACGTCAACCGTTACCGCGTAAACACATCCGGGGCTCGTGGTATAACGTGCCCTCGTGTATCAAACAATTCGTCGCTCTAGTTCTTCATTGTTCCATGTCTACTGGTTTCTAAACTGAGAAAATTGAGTTTAAACTTTACGAAGCTCAATATTATAGAAGCAAGAAAGTGGTGAAATAATCAAACACACTATAATATCATCTACTGAGCAGCTACTTGTTACAATGTTTAACAAAATTTTATCTTATCATGAACATAAAATTTTTAATTGGTGTTAATATTTGGAGATACAACTATTATGAGTGTTCTTTATATTATGGTGAATTCGTTATTCTTTGGACCAATGAGACGCACGTAGATTGCTTAACCAAATTTTTTTGTAGTATGAAGTTAGAACAGTAAAGAACTCGTCCAACAAACTATACATATAACGCAAATCCATCAAACTTCCATTGGAAAAATATTTTCGTTCTGTGTATATATTCGTCCCTAATCGAAAAAATGTCGATGAGACTTTTGTGGAAGACCGACGTGTATGTACGCAAAGATACACCAACGGATCAATAAGGCATATTTCATGGCAACATCCCAAAACTCGCGGGCGCACATCGGATAATTTATAACCCTCGGCCGAGTACGAGAAGAGCCGGGGATAGACAAAGAGCCGTTGACTGTCGCCTGTACTCGGCGGGGAACAAAGATTTTCCACAAAGGTTCTCGTCGAAGATCAAGTGTCGGCTTATACTTTGCACGCCTCTCGTCGTTGCTTCTCTTCTCTGGTCGAGGGCTGACAGGGGGAACGGATCGAGAAACCACTCGATCGGTTTCGCTTGGGGACACCGGCCTTTAAACGATTTTCTTGTTTGAAACATCGGCCCCCTTCAATATACTTGAACACACTCGAGTGACATGTTTGCCGAATAAATTTCCAACAGAGGAAAGAACTTCTTTTTAAACCGATCGATCGTATCTTTAGTGAGAACATAACCTGGAGTGGTTACCCGCTGGATGTGACTCGATGCTTTTCTTACTGATCGAGTTTTTGAAAGTGCCCTGCATACGAAACCAGAAAACAAACCACCTAACGGGGTCGATACCTATGGTTGTAGTTACCGAAACTTTTTAAATGCGAACCGTGGGCCCGGAGAGTGCAAAAATTTATGGCCGATGGAACGGGGGCTGAGGAGCTCCGTGGAACGTTGAAAGTTTCTTGATACTTCAACGATGAATTACTCGTGTATATATCATAACAACGTAATCTCCGAAGGTTTTAGTTCGTTAAAGCCACAGAAGTGACTTATTTAGGTCTTCGTCGGAGGGTGAATCTTTGTAATGCGCGATCTTTCGGGCATGGAAGACGTTCTGTTTTACAATAGGAATTGTCACGGTGACGGGACAGTTATTTGTGTGGTTTGTTAAACGACGAACGGAAAATTTCACGGAACAATATGTCAGTGGAATAGCTAGCACTGTCGATTTACAGGGGGGGGGGGGGTTAACATTATATTTTAAGCCCACGTCCGTTTGTTCTATCGACATTTATCTTTGTAATGGCGGACGGCTGGTCCGAATTGCATTTAGACATCGGTGGCAGAGAGGCTTTTCTCTCGCGCCGACATTCAATCGGTGAAGCTCATCATCGTTGGCTAAAGCTATTTATGTCGAGCGAACCCGAAGCCGCCGATATCGATAACCAATACCGCGCTTGTGTCTTTTTCAGCCCCCCCCCCCAACCCTCTCCTGAACGATATTCCGACGATGTCGCGGAAACTATTACGGTGAATTAAATACACGCCTATTGTTGTCGACAACAATCATTGTCTGACATTGGACAATCCTTTAATAACCACTGAAATATTCCATTGTCCGCCTAAATCTTCGATTTTCTCAGCCAGTGGAAAGACTTTCTGTAGCAAGACTTAATAATTATTTAAAGATACTGTTTAAGACTAGAACTACCAAATAAGTAAAAATGACTTGTCAGTATACTCTTATACCGATGGAGTTCTTAGATCTTTTGTGGAAAGTGAAGAGATTAGTTAATCTGTAAACTTATAAATGTTCAAAAAGTGGTCATGCTTTTTTAATCCCTTTAATTCGAAGCCATCTGTGCGATGATTTTAAAAAATAGGGGAAATATGTTGGGGTGGGGATGGGTAACGCGTTAGGTGAACAAGGAAGTAAATCGAAGCGAAAAGTGTTGGGTATTCTGGGTCGAGCGCAGATGGTAGGCGGGAGGGGGGGGGGCAGAACAAAAGGGAAGCAAGAAAGACAAAGGAGAATCCTCTCCACTTATCGTAAATTAAAAAGTAAAGTGTACCAACAAAGTCAAAATGAAAACTGCAGGATCTTCAACGATCCAGCTAACAGAGAGACTTTTAAAGAAAAAAGGAGGAGTAAAATTTCCGACGGTTGGAAAAGAATAGTAATCTGCATGCAAAGAAGAGCAGTCCTACAGGGACGTGTGCCGAAGATAAAACTAGCAGAGACTCTCTGTATCAGAAGAGAAAAACAAAAAAGAACGACCGGGTGAATCGCACAGAGGAACGTCACGGCACACACCGAGGAATAGAAAATGCCTGGCAACCTGGTCACCCTTAATAAAGACAAAACTCAGCCAACCTCTCTTGAACGCGAAACAGTAGACACGCATCGACCACGAAAGGATAGAACGAGATAGAGAGGAATCGAAGTGGTGACAGAGGGTGAAGGTGCAGAAACGGGTGAAGAGAGGGGGTGTGTGTGAGGCTCGCCGACAGAAGGCGCTACTGTCAGTGTCGCAGTATCCCCCGTCCTGCTCGGCAGGTTGCACCGTCGCCACTCCGTCCACAACGTCCCCGAAGGAGCACAGGGCACATGTAAACGGTGAATAACAGCTGTAAACAAAAAAAAACACGACGCGCGTGTACGGTACGCGTGAAATCATTGGGGCGCGTGCTCGGTCTTGAATCAGAGGGGTAGCTGTGGAATTTATCGAATCGGAAGGATCGTACACAAGGGGAGGGTCGAGGAAAGAATGCAGGAAACCCGTTGGATCGTAGCCGGGGGGCACCCTTGTGATCGTTGATCGATGATGCTCTCGATGAAAGGGGTTATTTGGTGTCGTTTCTCGCATCATCCTCGAGGATAGCGTCTGTTTGTCGGTGACCGACTGTACTCTTTCGACTTGGACCATTCGATACCGGCTCGAGATAGG